AAAGAGGCCTTAGAAGTCACATCTATCATGCATGAGGATGCTCAAAAATTCACATGAAAGGTGTCTGCTCTCCAAGCCACCACAACCTACCGACACTCATCAGAGAGAACATTTAAGATCTAGAGAAAAACAAGTCAATCTTGAGGGCTCCTGCAGTTTTTCACCTTTTTCAGTATGCATACCCAGCAACCAACTTTGTATTAATGAGGTACAGGTCATTCTCCTCCCACACAATCCACTTCCTGCTAATTGTTGGTTACTATCTGTAACACAATGTCAGATTTTTATTCTGCACAAAATGCAGCTGTTTTAAAGGAGCTGCTGTGTCCACAAACATAGTGCATAACACATTTATTTGGCCACCATCAGGTGCAATGGTAGCTCTACCAGTATGAACAAGCTCGTTAACAGAAAGGATTTTTAAAAATCTAAAATATCATTATTATAATAATAATCTCTGAATTTTCAAACTCATAGTTTCACAAAAAAGAACACATAATAAAGCACACGTTTTTGATGATTTAAAAATTTTCAGTTATTTATTTGCATTCCTGAACAGAAAAATGAGTTGTAGTGGTTGAATGCATTGCTTGACTAACTTCTGACTTCTAAGAAGCTGAAATTTGATGATAAAATGTAAACTCAGTTTGTTATTTATATAATAAATAAGAATGAAATGATTCGTTTTAAACATGCTTTTCCTAGATTTCTAAAATATTTGTGTTTTCCAGTTTTATGACAGATGGTCTAACAAATTTGTTAAGCACTGTACATTTAAAGCTTAATGTATCTAACTATTCCACCTCTCCATACTACAGTAGACTTGAAGTAAAGGCCCCCAGGATCTGTTTAGTTCAGATAAAGTCAATATGAAGCTAGTGCACTCTGTCTTGGTTATACACATCAAGTAGTTATTTTGAACTGTAGTTGTTTTGGGACCATTACCCTCTTGGCCCTTCCCTACAGTGCTTCTTGCTGAGAGAAGATTAACACAAAGGGGATTTTTATTACTTACTTGTCTAACTCATTCTGAAACAGACATTTAATCTCTCTGGAATAACCAAAGTGAAATCTTACATAAGGCCTGTGAGGCCATAATGCATTTTATAGACTGAATTTAAAAGGTAATACCATTTAGATTTTGAAAATATGCTTGTTAAGCATATCTTTTTGACTGTTGCTTGCTCAGCAATAAAGCATATACCAAGGTGTGTGTTTCTTATCTTGTTTTAGCTTTTCAGGTAGCTATGAAAAACCCATTAGCGGGGACCCGAGCAATTAGTTTTTTATAGATTCTTCATGTTTCATGTCACTGGAGAGAAGCTCTTGTATGAACGGGAATATGCAGAACTTAGAGTGTTAGAGTACCATCAGAATTCTGCCATCTGTTGTGGAGCTATATGCAGTACAGAGGAAGCAGCAGTGGTTGGATGCATGCAGGTCAGCCTGTCAGCCTGCAGATGTTCAATCGATTACAGTTTAGGAAAAACTGAAAGCTGATAAATGTGCCCAACTAGGTCTAGCTCCTCATGAGGATAGATGGGGTTCAGTTTGGTGGTGATGGAGTCACTTTGCACTCATCACGCTCAAAACACCTCCTTGCGTTTCCATGGTAACAGGAAGCACTCAGCGCCGGCAGCACACTTCTTGTGGAGCCCAGCAGTTTCTGTTCATCCGCAATCGATTTTCCCGATTGAGCGTGCGGATCTCTGTTAATGTCTGTTTGCTTGCGAGAAGTTTGCGGATGTTTGCAGAGTTTTGTGAAGGGCCATAAGAGTCAGCAAAAGGACAGAGAGATAAAGAGTGAAAGGCGTTAAGGTTATCATTATTCAGACTGCAAGCGGGAGAAAATATCCCTCAGCAGCTGATGTCTCTTTTTTTAATTTCAACAAACTACTTTCAACTATGGCTCGATGGGGACAGAGAATTCAAGACTACATTTCTGTTTGTAAGTAAATATCCACAGTGTATCATTAGCTAAATGGCAGTTCACTCTCAATTTGCTGACAGAAAGAAAAGAGCATAAGACATGCAGAGAAGGGGAGAAAGACAAAGAGAATAATGAATGCTAATGACCCTGGTGGACTGTGGTTTTTGTGAAAATTAAACATATTTTCTAGTGTCCTTGCAATTCCCACAAAGTCTCATTTGCTCAAAAAGTTGCACAAATCCTTAAAACTTTTTTGGTTACAGAAGTGCCTGTGCAGGCTCCAGGCTGCCTGTCAGGATTAGGATTTACAGCCTTCTGATTACTATGGAGAGAAGCCAGGGATCATTGGGTGGGTTCCTTTTTATTATGCTTTGGTAAAACAGCCGAGGATGAGAAAGTGATGCCCTTCACCATATACAGTCTGTGTTGATGGCTTTAACACACCAACTGATAAATGCCAGACATCAGAAGACATTTTACAGTTTTGCATTGTTCTTCCTTTGTTTTTCACTCAGGTTTGTTTCTATGGAGGCAGAAGGGAGAAGATTCGCTGCAAGTGATTTGGTGCAGGAAACATCCGGCACAGATGTGGGGAAAAAAAAGGGAGAGAGGAAAAAACATCCGGCGTAGATGTGCGCATTCTTTAGGAAAACAGATGTATTTCAGGAAGCACTCAGACTGCAATTAGTGTGGGGATGATGTGTGCATGAGCGTTCACCTGCCCTTGAATTAGTGGACAAGTGAGGAGAATTATAAGTGTTATATATTCTATTAGCGGTGAGCCAGAGAAGTCACCTCGGCAATCACTTGCATGAAGGCAAATTCTCTGCACTGTCACACTTCAGTGACTCTACTGGACCAATTAAGCAGGCAATCACTAAGTGGAAAAAATTGAAGGCTCACCATCCTCACTTTTACCATCCTCCTCCTAACTTTCACCACTGGCTGCCAAGCAGTTTTTGTTCCCTCAGCCCTTAAGGTATTCTTGCTTTTTACATCCTCATCCTGCTCCACCAGTCCAGCTTCTTTTTATTACCTAAACGAGCCTCGTTTGGAATAAGATAGCATTCCAGTGGCTAGTGTTGAGTTGCAAATTTTAAAAGATGGCATCTGACCCATCTTTTCATAGGGTCAGTGACCGAATTAAATTTAAACTAATAAGTATTTTCTAACTCTACACAACACCCCCAATTATTGATGTAATATATTTGTCAATACTTTTCCCCAATCAGTTGTCAATTTGCACTTTGTCCCTTCTTTAATCTCCAACACTTGCGTTACACAACTTTCTGGCACTACTCCATAACTTTCCGAGCACTGTTCCCAGCATCTATCATTTTAGGGTCCCTTTGACAGTTTTATGGCCAGATCGAGTCCAAAAGTCAGCAAAACTACAGATATCAAACCGATTGCAGAGACAAAACAATGAATCCTCCTGACAACTTTGTCAGGTTTGCTGGCAGGGGTATGCCACTATATCCGTTAAGGAAAGGTTTTTCACAGCTTTGAGCAATGGAGAAGGGCAAAAAGTGTCCCAGGTGCACTCTCAGCCGAGCCAAGTTTGTTTACCATATTGGTTAAAAATGGGTGGTTCACCACCTTCTGGCAACAAAGACAGGCAGAGAGGCTCCCAGGTGCATCTTAGCAGGGCCAAGTTTATTTAACCCTGTTTGGACTTGTCACCGTTGGCCATAACACAATGAAAGGTTACTTGTTGATCCTAATTACTTCATTTCAGACAGTATTGATCACATATGCTCATACAACAAGTGGCACAAACTTCATTAATATAATTGTGGATAATATTTGACCCAGATGTGTGGGTCTTGTGATTTTAAACATGTAGGTTAAATGCTTATCACAGTGATTCCATTATATAAAAACTGCAGTGCAGGTATACATATATAAAGTGCATACAAGTATATATTTTAATATATATGTGAGTATATGTCTGGTCTATACAGGTATATATATATATATATATATATATATATATATATATCATAAACAAATCCACAACACCAGGGAGCGTTTAACTGACATAAATGTCAGGGGTTCGTGTGTAATTAAAGACCAGTGAAATCCTGCTTCTGACAGTGAGGTCCACTGAAGTAGGTAGAAGTTTTTTTTTAATCAGTGGTGAACCATTTTGATTATGAACAATGAAACTAAGACTATTTCTATTATTCCAGTTGGTCTACGCTGACAATAAAAAGGCAAGTGGCCTCGGATTTTAAGTCTGTAGGACTAAACATGTATGATCACCCTGTGCTTCTTGTACCAAGTGATTGAAATGATAAAAGCTGACCCTGTGAAGGGAAGGCATTTTAGATAGATGTGTCAGTGAGATGTGAACATGATATATGAAATTTGGCAAGAAGGTTGGCTATCTATACGTAAGAAGCAACAGAGAACATGCTTGAACATATAGCTTATGTCTGTTTTTAGAAAGCAAATATCCACAAATCTGCTCATCTAATATGTGGATTCAGAGCCGGGGAACCTGTGTAACTTTTAGCACTTGCAGGCTTTATATTAGCCTCAACTATTTCTAGACTTTCGTTGAATTTGCTCGAACACAAGACACTGACGCCTTTGCGCGCAAGAAGGTAGCAGCATTGGACGTGGAGTGTGCGTTCGCACGAGACTTACATGGCGCGTGCTGTCATCACGTCACAGCATCACATCATTTTTGCTCGTGGTTAAAAGAAGAGATGTCAGCTGCCACTGTTTTAAAGTGAAAAGTAGTGTGTTTTGTGCACACCTCCTCTTCCCTTCACTCTTTCTCTTTCCCTCCTTTTCCTTCGCTCAGCTTGGGTTTCGGCGCTGTAGCAATTTGCTGCGTTGTTGGAGGCATTTTTACGCACGAACGGCAGCTGTGCTCGCAGCGCTGTCACCACCGAAAGCACATGGTTTCCCTCGGCCTCATAAAAACACACGACGAAAACACACACCCGCGAATTAATGTTGGGAGTCATTTCTGATTGTGTGCAACAAGTCTGAGAACAAACATCCACTCATATCAGTGTAAGAGTTTTTTCTTTTCATTCTTTTTTTTCAATCGCCTTACCTGACAATGATATACATGACCAGCACGTTTCCAACCAGCCCCACGACGCACACTATGGAGTAAAGAGCGGTGATGGCAATCGCTATGATAACCGGATTGGCGTCGATTTCCATGTTGTTCCCTCTACTCCCCTCGGCGAAGCTTGTGTTGTCGGTGAAGTTCCCACACAAGCTGCTGCCGTTATAAAACGAGCACAGCTGGCTCCTTTGATCCGCTTCTGAGTAGTTGCCGGCGCTGTCCATGGTCCTCGACCGGTACGTACCGCAGGCGCGTTTTTCACCTCCCCTCAGGTGCCCGTCGAGCGCACTCGGTGCCTGTGATGCCCCGCTGGGTGCTTCTCTGTCGTGTGCTCGGGGCAGCTCTGCCTGTAAGGCGCGGGATGGGCCGCCGGTGGCGTTAAACCTCAGCGTGTTGAAGATTGTGCCGTGCGTATTGACGGTTTGAGGGTTAACGGCAGCCTGAACGAGTTTTCTGACGATCTTCGCGCAGCACAGCGAGCCTGCACGGGACAGAAGCGACGACGTGAAAATGAATTAGTTTGCTCCCTTTCTTCTTTCACTCTAGGGTCTTTCCTCTCTTTTTTTCTTACTGCCTCTTTCCTATCCTTTCATTCCTCCTTTTTGTTCACACATGTCTACTCATTCGTTCCTTCCCACCCCTTTTCGCATGCCTTGTTGTGCTTCCTTCAGTCCCCCCTTGCTCCGTCCTTCTTTCCTTTTAGTCTCCTTACTTTCGTTCCTTCCTTCTTTCTTTATTTATTTTTTCTCATTTTCCACCTTTAACCCCCCAGTTGTGTTTTCCCTTCTTCCCTTGCTCCATCCGTTCTTCCTTCTTTTCTTTTCCCCTGCTCACTCTTTTGACCATTTTGGGTTTAAAACGCATTTTTTATAATTTTTTTAAATATTTTTATATATTTTCTTTCATTTCGTATATACGTTTTGATCACTTTCCCTTCCTTTTAACTTTCCTGCTCCTTTATTATTATTATTTTCATTCTACACGTTAACATCTCCTTTCTCTCATCTCACTTTCCCCCCTCTTCTTTTAGTTTTTCTGTCACTGGGATTTTTTTATTGCTTATCTTTGTTCCTTCAGTACTTCAGTATTTTTTCTTTACGTTCCTTTCTTTCTGTTTTCTCTGCATTTTACGCATTACATTTTTCTTTCCCTAATTTTTATTTTCTTTCCTTCTTCATTCCCATCCCTCTTCCCTTATTTCTCTTCTTCCTTCCTTTTTCAGCTCTTCTTGGTTCTTTCTTTCTTCATTCTGACTGGACATTTTTAAAAAACCAGCTAAGAAACAGGCTATTGTTACCACCAGAAAATGCTTCAGCTGTGGTATCAGTTTCTATGAGCAGTAGTTTGCAGGACATTTACTGTGTCTGTCACCACATTTGTTTTAAAGTGAAGCATTACAGTGATAGTCTTTGCTTCTGTAGTACCTGCAGGATAATACAATGCTCACAGCATTGTCTGAGGACACAAAGAGAACACTCGTGATTATCTGTCAAGTCACCCATGCCTGCACATGTACCGCTTTGATGAGGCTTCTCACTTCTGATTTCTGTTTCTGTGCTTTATTCTAATTATGTGAGCCCAGCAGGGGAATGTAGCATTGCATAATCCAATAGGAATTGATTTTAATCGAGATAATGTCCCCACTTGTCTCATTACAGTTTCACATAGCTTCAAAAATGACAAAAGATCATTGAACAAATGTGCCAAATGCTCCAGAGTAAAGCTTTTCAACATGATCATTACTGGTACTCAAAGTCACTGCTGTAAAATTGTTACTTGCAAACACTTTAATCAACACAAATTGCACAGTAAGAAGAACTTGAAAGCTTAATTCATCTGTGTGTTAAGTGATTAAAAAAGGGAGCATTAATGCTATTTTTGTAAAATAACAGTTTTATCACTTCAGCTAAGTCTGATAAGCTCAACCCAGTATCCTTCAGTTATCCTGCTAAAGTGTTTTGTTGATTGTGATTAAAAATTCCATTGATGGCTGAACAGTGGGAATTTCTTGGAAAACTTGGAGAAGAACATGTTTTTTTTTATAATACAAGTATTTCCGCAGTTTTGATAGAATGAAGTGTCACAGTGATGTTTAGGGTGAATGGACGTAATCACCGTAGTCCATGGTTCAGATGCAGAATCCTGTTCATATACATATATATGTTTATGTCTAGACAGCAAAAGCACTCTGACTAAGACCAGTTAAAGACTGCTTTGGTTTGTAAGTGTTTAAACATAATCATTAATGCACTGAATTATTCTGCAGTTGATTTAAATTCATATGCATGGGCAGATATGTTTGGTGCATTAGCACATTTGCAAGTTTAAATAAGTTAACGAGCATCAAGTCCTATTTACATATTTGAAAATCCTTTATGATGCTACAAATGTTATAGTTATATATGAAGACTCTTGATGATGTTACATTTCTTTGTTTCCACACTGTTTGGTTGTGACATTATAAAAACTGTTTCCTTTCAGCTCTGATTTTAATAGTAGAAACAGGTTTACTTCTGTGGCCAGAAGGCTTTTGTGAGCTTATGGCTGAGTGCCCTTTTCAAAAAGGTCAGCTTCCTTTCTAAATGTGTTTTGCAGTGATATGTTCATGATTCAGCGGCGCAAGACTGAGAAGTGTTGCACCAAGAGATGCTACACTCATTGCTATGACAGAGCACAGATGGCAGCTAAATTTCATGGACAACTTGTTATGTCAATCTTAATGATAGTAATTCATTTAAAGAAAAGGATAAAGAAAGCGACTGTTAGCCTATTCATATGTCTAATTCAGGACTCTTTTTTTTTTGGTCTTCAGATTTTGTTCCCTGATATTCATGTGGGAATCAATTTAGGAATGGCTCACTTAATTCCAGAGCTGTACTTCTGAAAGAACACGACTTCATGTATTGAGTAATGTTTCTGGGGATTTGGGGGGTTCAGCAACCTGACTAGAGTTCAGGTTCTAAATACAAAGTCAACCTTTAAGGAAACGTTCAGCTTTTTAAACCCAGTATTTTTCCACCATCATCCAGCAGAAAGCTTAGAATAAAGAAATATTGAGGGTTTTATGTAAAACAACATAAACATTTAGAACATTTAGTTCTATTTATTAACCAGACATAAGAGCAACGAGCCAAGCAGAGCCATGCTCTGCCACCTGTAGTTCAGGTGGCAGAGCAGGTCAGCCACTAATCAGAAGATCGGTGGTTCGAGCCCATGCTGCTTCCTGGCTGCATGCCAAATACTAACCCCATGTTTGCCTACTGGTGGTGGTCAGAGGGCCCGGTGGCGCCAGTGTTCGGCAGCCTCGCCTCTGTCGCCTCAGGGCAGCTGTGGCTACAACGTAGCTTGCCATTGCCAGTATGTGAATGTGTGTGTAAATGGGTGAATGACTGAATGTAGTGTAAAGCACTTTGGGGTCCTTAGGGACTGAGTAAAGCGCTATACAAATGCAGGCCATTTACCAATCAACATTACTAATAGGTAACTACATGTGGCTGCCATGCAGTAGGCTATTTATGATTGTTTACTTTCTTATAAAACAGTTCCGAAGTGGAGGAAAAAATATATTAACACGTTTAAACCTATTTTAAAACAAAGTTGATGTCAAGCTATGCCAACCACTGCTGATTCAGTTTAATTTTATTTATATAGCACCAAATCACAACAACACTCGCTTCAAGAAGCTAAATCCTTCTTAATCCCACCTGTGTTTGTGATGAATCTAATTAAAGGAGCCTACTCTGATAATAAATAAAACTCATGGCTGGCTAATATTGTTTAAAAAAAAACAAATTAATTTGTCCTGTTTATGACTTTATGAGCTTCTCTGACTTCTCGTTAGATTTTAATTCTTATTAGTTTGGGCAGTGCAGCCAACCAGTGATGGGGAACCGTATCACTTTCTTTCTGTCCTTCACAGATTACAATTATCTGATCATAAGTCGGATCAGTCGATTTTTGGTTTTAGAGGGATTTCTGCAGACACTGAGAAAAGCGTTAGAGGAGCCTATCCCAGCTGTCAGCTCTGTGATAGACTGATACCCTGGATAGGCTGCCAGTCAGAAAACTGTAAAAGGTGCAGGTACTACAGGAACTATTAGCTCTTGTAATATGGATCCCAGTATTGTTTCCACAATGTGTTATAAAAACTTCTTAGCTCATTTTGAATTTGCTGGCAGGAACGTGTGTCAAAAAGTTGGGATGGGGCCATGTTTACCAGTCTGTAATACTCCTTCTTTAAACAACAGTCCATAAACAGAATTTGCTGGACGTTTGTAAGAGGAATCTTGTCCCGCAGCTACTCAGTAGTCCTGGGTGCTCTTTATTGCATTTTTCATTTTGTGATGCTCTAAATGTTTTCAATTGCTGAGAGGTCTGGACTGCAGGAAGGCCAGCTGAGCACCCGGACTCTTCTACTTGGAAGCTGTGGGGGATTTTTCTTTTGGCAAAAAGCAGTCCCCGAGAACAAACTCAGACAGCAGCTGGCAGGTTTGGAGTGTTTATTGTTAAGGAGTGATTGGTTTACGGATAGAGGGCATTTGGCTTGGAGATTCAACAGCACTACATGCTTGAACATGGGAGTTCCATCAGAGACGAGACAAAGAGCTTAACTGGAGTCTTAAACAGGAATATGATTCATGTGAGAAATCCAGGTGGTTATTAACAGTTTTACTTGAGTTAGGAGTGAATAGAGGTCATTTGTGGGCAGCTGGTGGGTATCTAAGAGTTAGCGGAGATGGCAGATGCAAGCAGGAGGAGCTGGAGGTTTCCACAGACGACAGTTGAGCTAGTTTCCAGGTGAGTGTGTTTTCTGTGGGTGCACAGAGCAGGTGACAAGGAGAAGTGAAAAGAGACTGAGTAAGAATGAGCAGGTGATTACAAGCAACAAGAAAACAAGCTGGATGGTCCCCCACCTTTTTAGTACAGGGGATGGAGCATCCGTGTTTTTCAAAAATAATTTTGACTTTTGATTTTTCTGACCAGAGTTTTCCACTTTCCTTCAATCCATTTTTAATGAGCTTTTTTAAGAGATGGTGACATTTCTGGATAGTGTTCACGCATGGCTGCTTCTTTGGATGATCAAGCTTTAACCTGCATTTGTGTGTAGTACATTTCTGGAATGGCAGTGCAGTGATTTCTATGACAAAATAATGCCTTTTTTAATGCAGTGGTGCCTAAAACCTGAAGATCATTAGTCTCACTTTTCCATCCTTTCTTTGTGTCCTTCAAAATTTTTGATATATTACTACCATCAAATTCAATATGACCTAATATCTTTCTTAAAGTATCATATGTTCTCAGTTTAAACATCTGATATATTTTCTATGCCTATATATACCTCCTCCCTCACAGAGAGAATTATGACCTTGTGTTCTGCTTGGCCGTCACCTAAGGATTTCCATCCCTGATAAGCAGAAGGAGCCTCACTATCTGTTTAATGTCTCCCATTACAATGGCTTCACTGTGTTAACTTTCCACATGCATGTAAAGTAGTGGCAGGAGTGCTCTTACTATGGTAAAGTGAGGAAGTGATATTACTATAACTAATGTGATATAATTAAATATGTGATTAATACATGAGAAAAGAAATCTGCCACCACAAATGCTTTTAGAAATTCTTACAC